GTTTTAAAATGATTTTTAATCACTTTAAATAACGTAATTTGCGTTTGTCATAAGCAAAACTAAATTACTTTCCATAAACAGAGACAACACTCACGCACTGCAGGGAGGTACTGTGAGGAATAAAGGCGTACTCATATGATTCAAATCAGTAAATACTTGTTCATTCAAACAATTCCATTGAAACCAATGGCTTTGCTTTTGCAAAGACAATATGATAGCTGCAGAGAGCTTTCTTATCCTCAAAGAGAAGACTCTGGAACAGTTTAGTGATGAGTTTTGGTAATTAACACCATTGATTCCTAGACAAAACCAGGTAGTTAGGATTGGTAAGAGTTGTGGGGATTCTGCTAAACACCACATAATTCCTAACTATGCTCAAAGTGAGCCTTATGAGCTCATAGAAAGCTATGGTTATGTTTAAATCTATATGGAGCCCGACCTTGTTAAAATCTGAAAGACACCATACCTGATTCATCTCTGCTTCCAGAAATTTGAATTCAATCCCACTGTGCAGTTATACATCCAGCATACAATCATCATTGAAGTGCTGTAAAGTGTTTGTGGGATCATTAATTTTTAAAGGGAAGTTTTTTTTTGTTTTTTTTTTTTTTAAATTATCACTCTCACGCTCTCACCTTCTATGTGTACCAGTGTCCGGTTGGCAATGGAAACTCATTTTCTCCTAAAGGAAATGGGAACCACAGATGCCCAACATCTCACGTGAAGGCAATGAGTTGCCCAATAATTTCAAAAGCAAGATTTACTGTCAATATGCCCTGTAATAGGTTTCATACCAAAAGGGATATTTTGCATATTCTGGTACTTATAATCAAAGCAAAAAAAAAAAAAAAAAACAGGTAAGATACTCAGACAATGTACTTTGTCTGAATTCCTGCATTCGTGGGTCACTACAAGGATAGGCAAACTTCATCAAGTGATATGCGGCCCAATATTTTTAGTAGAGGGCAAAAAGGTTCAGAAAATGCTAGGGGTGCGGCACAACATATTTTACAGTGCATAAAGCAACCTTGCTGTGAGATCTTACCAACTTGAACGCGTTGTTTCCCTCATTTTCTTTTTTAAAATCATAAATGAAATGAGACTAATAAATTGTTTCCCACTGCAATATGCAAGGGCTGAGAAGATGCCTAAACACATCCAACCAAGAGGCCCAAGCACAACTGGGAGTTTCTAAATAGCCCACTGCTGTAATGTCTCCCCTTCAGAAATAAGTTCAAAACTCACTTTTAATTTTTTTTCTCCATTACCAGCTCTTTCTGTTCTGGCACATGAAAAAACACTGGTCCCTACCCTCTTCTTTCTAACTGGACTCAGGTTAATTAACAAGCAAGACGTTTTTCACGATTACAATGCTAAAGCTCTTCTTTCTTCATAAGTTAAAATCAAGGTTGATAGTTCTTCTGGGTGTTGATTTTGATGTTACAAAAACAGCATTTGATCTGTATGGTGGATAATAGTAATTTTAATACCTGTTTAATGAATTGTTTTCATGTCAGACTGAATCATGATTAGGGAGTTTTTTTTTTTTAAATGAAGCGCAGGAGAACAAGGAAGTTTCCAGCGAAAGCAGACATTTGCTGTGCTAGACCTAGCATATATGCTTGAAGAAAGAGGCCTTGCTCCAGAGAGCATAAACGTGGCAAAACAGAGCTAACAGACATTTGAAATATCATCAGTCTCCATTTTACAAATAAAAAGCACAGAGCCTCTGGTGTCAGAGCTATCATCTGCTATAGTCAGAGAGAGCCTTTCAATGACTTCATCAGGTGATAAAATTCAGGGCTGGAAACTGTACAACCTTGAACTGACTTCCTGCCAAAAATTGTGTTGTCCTTTTTTCCCAGCTTTCCCCCGCACAACTTTTTACGAAGCTATTAAGCATTTTCAATTTATCACTTACAGTATAGTGGGAACCAGAAGTCCTGGGACAGACCGAAGGAGCATTACAACTCCTACATTACCCACGGCTGCTATACTCAGCATGGTTTGCCTATGCATGTACTACACGGCCAACAATTGTTTTCAAATTTATCAGAAGCTGGCGTAAAATCTCTCAGCAAAGCTTCAGTTGGAAATTCTAATCTCATGCACTAAAGACTATTTTTTGAAGAGGTTATTTTCTTCACTGTAAACCCTCTAAATTTCTGTTGTTGGTACTGACCATTTCCACTTATGCAATCCTGCAGCATCACATTAGTCAAACTGATTTCTGTAACTCAGGAAAAGACTGTCCTGAGAGAAAAAAAATTGACAAAAAAGAAAAGATACCCTCACTATTTCTACTACAAATAGAAGTTTTCTATCCAAAAAACCCAGGAAATTCTCACCCCCTTTCAGTAACGCTACTACTTCTAACAATCCTCAACTGACACGAAAGAGTCCACACTATCCAGCAAATGGCATATTCAGATGTTTGTGCTAGAGACCTAAGATCATACAGTGTTTTAAGTAAGAAACCTGCTCTCTGAAAGTCATACAGTAGATTAATTTGGAGAATAATGTTGACAGCAAATTTATGACCTAAAGAGAGAGCTTGGGGTCCTCCCCCAGTTCAACTCTCATATGTTTAACTTAACCTGTTCATTGATGAAATTCAGTTATTGCATATGAGTCCTTTGATTTTGCCTCTCCAAAATTCCCAGCTGTCTAGATAGGGAGCACAGGCTAGAAGTCCATCACTGTAGAGGAGATTTGGATAAGAAAGACTTTCACTATTTCTATTTTAGATGCAGAAGATCCCTATAGCCACCCTGTTTAGCTTCTACATGCTGCCTCTCTCAAAAAGGGACCTATAGCAAACACTTTGTGGCATATCTGAGAATATCCACAGCATAAAATGCTTGAAGGTTTCAACAGTATCAACATCCAGACCTAATCAAAAGAGAATACTGTGCCTGAAACCCTATAGTCTACTGACTGCAGTGTATACTAACAGAAGTACTGCCTCACTCTTCCACAGGTCAGTCATATTTGCAGAATGAAAACATTAACTGGAGAAGTCACAGAGGGAAAGGAAGGAAACTGGTGGAAAAGACAAGCTAGAGTAGTTGGAAATTCTTGAGTGTCATAGATTCTGGAAAGAAAAAAAAGAGAGTACCTCCTCCCAGGATCCAGCTTCGTGTGCTAGCATAGCGTAATATTAAGAACACTAATGCTCCACTGCAGTGGACAAAGAAGGAACAGAATAGACGCTATTCCTCTTTGACCCTCGCTGTGCTTTGTCACAGCTCTTATCTACACAACATGGATATCATCTATCTCTTTCAGGAAATATTGCATACTCCATGTATTTCTTGCAATACACTGCCATCACAACCACCCTTTTCTGTCTTTTCTTTTTTCTTCATCCCAATATGACGCACCAGATTCATTTCTTTTTATAATAGTTGCACCTTTTTGTAACAAAAGGGCTCCCTCCCAACACTGAGTTAAGCTGCTATTGAATCTTCATATTTTCTCTCTGCTATAGCACAAGACTCATTTGAAATAAGTGAGTCATTCAAATGATTTAAAGTCTTGCACATTTATGAAAATTATAAAACGCTTTTCATGTGGTGTAGGAAGAGTAACAAAACCACTTTACACATGCAGAGGCACAAACCAAGCTAGACACCTACCAGTCATTGCACTGGAAGCTGTGCTCCCATTTTACGCCCCTCTTACACTTTTAGCTTGTCTTTTGAGCGTGTAACAATTCCTCCCCATCAGATATCACTTCTGTGGGCTCAGTTTCTTTTTCACACTGCTTTCGTACCTGTGTAGTCCTTGTTGTGTCAGTAAAAGTTATTGCCAATTTTCATTGGACTACCCTGAGCAAAGAAGCAGATGCTTCATGACTAATGCAGCCCTTACAAGTTATGGATAACAGCACAATAACTAACACATAGCATCTGTAGTATTCAGTCAAACATGCAGATATCGATGTCCCTGGCATATGACCATGTTCATTTAGGAGACAGAATGTTTGCCTTGCAATCAGGAGATTTTACTTCTCCAGCATTGATCACACTATTGCCCACGGGACAGTTTTCCCTGAAGACATGCAGGTGTAAACAATGCAAGACTCTTCTGCATGCTGCAGAGGGGAAGGAGACAAAACCCCTTCCCAGAGCTTTCACATGCTTCTTCCAGCCTAGAGGAGAGGAGACTAAAACCCAAACCTTAAGTCTCCTGCATCTCAGGCTCTGGGCTGTGGACCACCAATTCATTGCCAAACGTACTTCCTCCTAATCCACAACCAGGCAGTGCTGCACTGGCCCATTGGCCCCCAGGTTCCCTGCGCTCACATGCCCTAAGGATGAAGGCTAAACATCCAAACTGTGCTTTAGCTGGACCTGGGCCTCCCCGTCTTAGTGGCATGACGGCAAGAGCCGTTGCTGTTGAGTGCAGCTCTTGGCACTGGCAGGACAGCTCCTGCCAAACAGCTCAGCCAGCTTACGCACAATAAAACTGCGCAGCACAATTTTGTAACAGGGAAGAGTAACTTTGTTTTGCAGGCTTCTATACTCTCCTTCTGTACCCTCCGTACAGGAACGGCTTGTAACAACTTCCTCAAATCTAGAGAAACATGACTCCCAGCCGCAGGTCTTACTGATCTAATAGCGAAAAGCCTCTAGCTTCTTCCTCTCATTCCAGATTTCTAATGAATTACCATTCTTTCATGCATATAACCACATTCAGATGTCTTGCAAAGGCTGAGATCTATTCAGACAGAGAATGTAGGCTTTGGGTCCGGGGCAAGAGAGAAATCTAGAACAAGACTTCTCTATTACCTACACATTCATGCTAAACCATCACTTTTCCAATTTTGTGAAGAAAACCAAAAGGTCATTTACAGCTGTCCCATATAGCAGCTCAACACTCTATCTCTGTCCTGATACCCAGCTGCTCACACGTTTCCACATATGAATGCAGAAGAAAAAAAAAAAACAAAAAACAAAAAAGAGAATAAGCATTTAGATAAAATACATTAGACTCACAAGCAGGTACTCCTGCTCACACAGGTCTTCAGTGAAGGGTGGCTGGTAGACATTCCTGTTGCACATGTCAGAGCTGCACCCTCCATAGGAAATGAAATACAGACTGCCTACAAAGATCTGAATGCAATACAAAACGCACTGAAAGTAATGGATGTGATCTTCATCTAACATTTGGATGATTTTCAGTGATTTCTGAGACTCTCAGAAAAGGCCAGACATTTGGAAGTGACACAACTGTTGCTCCTGCCCTGAAAAACCTGAAAGAAAACAATATTGACATTGCTCATTATTTTAAGAGGGAAATCCCTCTGAGCAAGCAGTTCCAGCCCAGCTAATAGATACAGGGTGAATCAAAGTGTAATAAGCAGTAGAAACACTGCAATGGTACACAGTCGGCCCTTCTCTAAAGGGACTTTGCAGTGCTCAGAAGCAGAAGCATTCCACGCGACCTTAAAGCACTGCTTTTAAACGTCTCAACGATGCTGTGGGGTCTAGCAACTGCAAGTGATGACTTAAGATGCCAGGAAGAACTGAAGCTGGAATCATGCCATGCTAGCAAGGTCAGAATTGCCCTAAAATCTGTATTTTTCAGAGCTGGGCAGGATTTTGTATTAGTCACCCTGAAAGACTGCTCCTCCGGCACAAACTGGCTCTGGTTCAGCAATAACACAGAGGGCTGAGTGCCATCTACTGGGCTGCTTTATCACCTCTTTCCTGCTGCATCTGGATTTTGCCAACATCTTTTTTCTAAGTGCAGACAGCCCGCCCCTGGTTAGACTATTGTCTCAGGCACAGTCACAGGGTAAGATGATCCAATGAAAGCATTTCAGTCGTAGGCCTAGGCATAAGTAATTATAAAAGAACTTGTCAAGTTGTGAAGCTGCCTGAAGGGGCCCTGAACTGAGCAGCAATGTGACTGACAGGCTAACCGAAAAGGAACAACTCTAGCTGGACAGTGGTCCAGGTACCAACCTTGCTCAGAAGAGCTGCTTGCAAGCCACAAGAGTTCCGAATGAGGCATTAACATATGTGGTCTAGACTCGTGCACATAAACACATCAACAATGCTGTTAGTTGGTGAATAGTAGTTCGTGAATACTATAATGCTAGTTACATGCCAGCTGGTGAATACAATAATAAGGAGGCAGCACCTCAAGTTCTCCAAAATTTCAGCTGTTGGAAAACTGTACCTCACCATAGTACGGCTACCTTATCATCAGTGTAAAATCATGTTTTACTGCTAGCTACACTGTCTGACTATAGAAGCCTGTCACAGCTGAAGAGGTCAAGAGTCTAGAGCTAGCTGGAGAGACAGACCTTAGAAGAAAGCCCAACACCAGTATCCATGGAAACCCTGGAAGGGCTTCACAGAGTCTCACAGCTGGCAAATTCTCAGAGAATATAAAAAGAAAGAACACCAAAAATGTGAAATTTAATTTTCTTTAGTTTGACAAACAGGCAGAATAAAAGTTAACAGAAAAGACTTATTGCTTAAAACTGCCTCTGGTTGTGTGAATGACTGGTAGGAGGGTCACACAGGATCATTCTGCCAGCTCATCTCTCACCAGCACAGGGAATCGCTTGCCACCTTCACAGAGCTGTGTGTAAATTGCCCGATACAGCTGAATTGCAGAAGCCTCTGGGTGGAGCCTGGATTCCAGAACAGGCAGGAGTTCTGCCATCATGACCTGGACAGAAGCAAAGGACATACGTCACTGGAGTAGAGCCAGAGCCTTTCTTTAGGACTCCATGAAGGTGCATAAAGAAGTGAAATCTAATTTGAACAGTATGAGCAATAATATGCTAATATTGGCAGATGATGGCTTTCTTTTGTCATATTTAACAATAGCAGAGTTGTTCATCCTCTGCTCGCTGAAGTACACCAGCAGCCACTCAGTGTTCATAAACATGCAGGACATATGGTAGTGCTTTTCCTCCACTATCTCTGACAGCACAGTTATGTCAAAGATGGCCCAGTCCTGGAATGAGATCAGGTCTCTGTGCGAAGCTGATAGTAAATGTACATGAAGATGCTACTTTGAGAGGTCTGTAACCACACAGTGGACAGCTTTATTCAGCTGGTAAGTTCAGCCCTTCGCTTATGACTGGTTTTGTCACCACCCATTTGGGCTACATTAATACAGGACAGATGTGCAAGCGGCCAACTCCAACCCATACACAATAAAGCTGCACCCCTCCCCAGCAGCACAGCTTACTAAGGATGCTAAAGCTGTCCTACGTTCCCTGTCCTGGCCTCTGGCTTATTAAGCCTAGCTTGTAATGTCAGTCCGCACTTTCAAAGGACTCATTGGCCTGTCTCAGCATAATTTACTGACAGTGATGATGACAGTGACTGACAACTCAAGCACAAGAGAACTCACTATCGGAGGAAGAAAATTAGCCTTTAGTTCTCCAGTCTGGAATTAGTCCTCAGAAAAGCTTTTTGCCCTTCACAGACAACTCCAGACCTCATCACCTCTGCTTAAAGTTCCAGAAACTCTTTTTTTTCCTTCTAGCTGGTGTCTGCTAAAAGACAGTGAGCAGTCTGGTCATTAGAACTGCACAGAGCCTACTGTATACAGCTCTCACAAGAGTGGACAGTGAACTGCACATGACAGTCACATTTCTTAAAGCATGTTTCAGTGGTGGAAACAAAGGAAGAACTAAACAGAATGAAGTACAAGACACCTGCAGGGAGCCAAAAGCTGTGGGTTCCCTCTTCTGTTCTCTATAAGTTTGCAGGAGACAGGGACAGGACACAGCTGTTAATCTTTGGAAAGAATTTTAAGATTTGTAAACATAAAGAGCTACCCTAAGGGGAAAATCAGCACATGGAACGCTACATCACCCCATTTCCTAAGAGGAAGCCCCTTCTCTTTTTCACCTACCTGGTCTGCCCCTGATGCATAAGAGTAAGGGGAAACTGACCTGCACCGTCAGAGACAGGCTAAGAAAGAGCCAACAAGACTTTCTATGATTCTTGGTGTTCCTCCATAGAAAGGCAATGGGACAGAAGTACGTGAGTTCTTTCAAACCCAGGAGATCTATCCTGTACCAATTCTGTTCACTTTACCTCTCCCAAGAATTTCACCTATCCTACACAGTCTGCGCAGAGCTACTTCAGATATTCAGAGCTTACCCAGTACAAAGTCAAAGTACCTGTCTGTAGATTCATGTGTGGAGGGATTCATGTGTGGAGGGATTCATGTGTGGAGGGATTCATGTGTGGAGGGATTCATGTGTGGAGGGATTCATGTGTGGAGGGATTCATGTGTGGAGGGATTCATGTGTGGAGGGAATAGGGTCCAGTCAGCCCAGCATCCAGGCAGAAGGCTTTGGTCACTACTACATTTGGGCAGGTAAAAAGGAAAACCCCACAATCCACAGTTCAGGGGGTACAGCGCTAAAAGCTTGCTGCCTGCCTTCACACAGGACATCTTCAGCCAGAGGGAGAGGTGCAGTCAGATACCGGCAATTCTTCCTTGGCTTGTAAAAGAATTGCTTTTCCAGTGCCTCTATCATTCAGCTCAATGGCAAAGGGTAGGTAGCAGACAGGGTAGATGCGATTTCACAAATCATCTCTACCCTTTGCTGTTTGTAGTTTGAGAAGAGCAAACAATCCCTCTGCAGCAAACACCCTGTTCAGGCTAGTGGAGGGACTCACTTCATGTTCTTACAGTCTCAGAAAGGTAAAGTCAAGATTAGCAGCAAAGTACAGTCATTTGAGATTAAAAGCACAGGAACAGACAGCAGAGAAACTCACTAGTCAAAGAAGTCAAGTAGGACAGGATGAGAGAGCGGGTACCCTCATAGGACTGTAACAGGCTGCTAAAACGGATCTCCAGGCATTAGCAACAACCTCTGCCACTGCCACACTCCACAAGAGTAGCCAAAAAATGATTTGATTTTCCTAGTCTCAGTCAGTTAAAAAGAAAGATTAGATGTGTGCTGTAATTCACTTGGAAGTTATGACCTGGACTATGCAGGAGCGGGTCAGACATTTAAAGCCATCTGCTCTGGCATTAAGAAAAATAAGTCAATCCACAACAAAGTAAGTGAGGCACTGACAGAACTTGGACATGAGGTATAAACATAGAAACACCATTGGGAGAGTTTCTTGGGCTGCTGCTTCCTCATCAAGACTCAGTATTGCCAGCTGTTGCACCACAACTGCCCTTCTCCATCTCTACCCAGCAGCACTAATGCCCTTAACTCACCTTTTGTATGGTAATTTCCTGGTTCAGCATTGACACTTGCAACTTCAAGGCAAACAGGTCCCTCAGCTCCTGGAAACTGGAATAACAGAGGAGAGGCACAGCCAGCACACCTGCACTGCCACATGCCTGACCCCTGGGAGCAACAGAGTCTGGACAGCAGCTTCCTGCATCCCCAGTGCAGTCTGGACACAGCCTCATCTGGGACTCTGCAGCTGTCAGGATGGAAGAAATGGCAGAAGGCAGGAACATGCAAGTTAAATCTGCACTTCCAGAATTTGGGATCTACTTATTGTTCCTGTCACTAGTCATTCATTTACATTACGTTAGTCAGGGTAAGTCTCCCACACATAGCACAATCAGGACACGTTAAGCCATGGTATGCAGTTTCCTAGCTCTCTCAACAGCTCCATCATCAGCCCTCCTAAATTGCAGCAGTTCACAGAATCACAGAATGGCTGAGTTTGAAAGGGACCTTTGGAGATCATCTGGTTCAACCTCCCTGCTCAAGTAAGGCCACCTAGAGCAGGCTGCCCAGGACTGTGCTTTATACACGTTGATAAGATCCCCACTGAACCTTCTTTTCTTGAGGCTGGACAATCCCAGCTGTCTCAGCCTTTACTCAAAAAACAGATGCTCCAGTCTCTTAATCATGTTCATAGCCCTTCACTGGACTCACTCCAAGAGCTCTATATTTCTCTTGTACTGGGAAGCCCAGCACTGGACACAGTACTCCAGATGCAGCCTCACCAGGGCTGAGTAGAGGGAAAGGATCACCTCCCTTGACCTGCTGGCACCGCTCTTGCTAATGCAGCCCAGGATACCGTTGGGCCTTCTTTGCCACAAGGGCCCCTTGCTGCCTCATGTCCCACCTGCTGTCCACCAGGACCCCCATATCCTTTTCTGCAGAGCTGCTTTCTGGTTGGTTGGCCCGCAGCCTGTACTGGTGCCTGGGGTTATTCCTCCCTAGGTGCAGGACTCTGCACTTCCCTTTGTTGAACTTTGCGAGACTGCTGTCTGCCCACCTCTCCAGCCTGTTGAGGTCCCTTTGAACGGCAGCACAACCCTCTGGCACGTCAGCCACCCTTTCCAGTCCTGTATCCTCAGGATTCTTGCTGAGGGTGCACTCTGCCCCATCATCTAGATCGTTAATGAGTCTGTACTGAACCCAGTATTGACCCCTGGGGCACACTGCTCATTCCTGGCCTTCAATGAGACTTCGTGCCGCTATTTAACACTGTCTGAATCCAGTCATTCAACCCTTGTGTTCAGTTAAAAGCCCCTCCTGATTGGTGGTAAACAGATGCCATGGCTTCACTTCCCACCAGAGCAATACTACATTACCATTAAAGATAACCAAGAGAAAAATTATGTTGGTACACAATGTTCTGCTCACAGATGCCAGGCTACTGCTCAAACATAGCTAGCAACATTCAGACCTGACTATGAAAACAGGGACTGGCCTCACCTTCTCGCAGAAGCTGCAGCTTATGTAAGCACTGGGATGCTACGGTTTGCAAACCCTCCACGGTCAGAAGGCTTTCATATTCCCTTTGCAGAGTGGGATGGTCTACAAGAGAAGCATAGAGGACAACTAGCAGCATGAGGATACTGCAATCTTCCCCCAAACATCAGCTTCTAGGGTGGGCTTGGGGTAACTAATCCTCATTTTGGGCAGAGAAGGTTCCTGCCCCTGTTCATTGTGTCCAGCACAAGCCAGGAACACAGACACACATATAATTGTAGCCTGCTGGAATCATCTTATTTCCCCCTCTCCCAGCCTTTATTTTTAATTTTTTACCTGCATACTCAGCTTCCACACACTGGCTCAGAAGGGCAGGGACATCCCGCAGGACCTTTACTTCCTCCTCTATCTCTGCTGGACTGAAAGCTGGCATCGGTGAACAAAACTCAAACAGCAGCAGCTTAAGGAACATTTCACAGAACCAACATGGAATAACTCGGAACATGACCCTGAGCCCTGGGCCAAGACAGCAAGAATCAGGGGCAGTGGCAGAGGGCAAGCAGCCCTCAAAATGGCAATGCAGGGAGCACACTGAGGACCGCACAGCTGTACATGGCCTGCTCACTTCATAAAACTTTTGATCCAGACAAACAGCACCATGACTACTCAAGTTCTGCACTAAAAAAAAAAAAAATTTCCCGGAGAATCAGCTTGAACTCTTGTTATTGGAAGGATGACTCTCTCCAGTAAGGGCACCCCACAGATGGTTTGAGCCCAATGCCTATTGTATTGCATCATGTGCTCTTAGAGGAGATGGTGAGCTGAGAAAGGATACAGTTGTCTGGATTTTCTCTATAAAACGGTTCCTTGCAGCTGCTGCATCTGCACTTGACTGACAGAGACGACAACTCTCCCATGCCCTTCAAATTCAAAAGGGGCAGGGAACAGAGGAGTTATGATCTTGGTACTAGACAGTGCTCACAATGAGCTGCAAAACATCAATATGACATATCAACGCTTCAAATACAGACATCTTCCTCATTCCATTCTTTTACTAGGAAAATAGTTTCTTCTTTTTTTTTTTTTTTTTTTAAAAAAAAACCAGCCATTCCCTCCATAGTTTTGACAAATATTAGATCAACATGGATATAGAATCACAGAATCGTTTAGGTTGGAAGGGACCTCTGGAGATCATCTAGTCCAACCTCCCTGCTCAAGCAGGGTCCTCTAGAGCATATTGCCCAGGATCACATCCAGACGGGTTTTGAATACCTCCAGCAAAGGAGACTCCACTACCTCTCTGGGCAACCTGTTCCAATGCTCAGTCACCCTCACAGAAGTGACATCCTGCAGAAAGTATCAGATATTGCAAAACATCCATGATATTTCTCTCAAACTGTTTTGAGGGGAAGGATTTACAGCCATCAGAACAGACAACGCAGTTCTACAAATTAAGCAGTGTGAACATCAGCAATTCTGTTGTATGCAACCTGCATTATGTTTTTATCCCATAGAAAATGTAATGAAGCTTCCCTTCCTTTCTCGACAGGTAAGCCATTTACATTTCTGTACATCTATTTTGTTAGTAAACGCGTGCATAAAGGAGTTACCGTGGTAGAGCAGATACAGGACAAAATCTCACCCTAGCTTTCAGCACAGCAATTCCTTCATATGCCAAACATTCTTGAGATTCTCCTGTAATCCTTATTTTAGGACACAGTGATATGTTTGGCAAGCAGCATGATAGCACTGCATCAGTACCAGGGACTGAACAGAACATAGGGGTTTAAAGACAATATCAAGACTAAGGTGGCCAGGACCTTATATGAGAGTCCAATTTTTAAAGCAGATGTCACACAAATAGTGGCGAGATATCAGAGAAGTCTATTTCATTTACAAATTTCAGCATCACCACAGGTGCATGGTCCCCATGTCATCCATTACTTAAAGAATGGCTTTAAAGAGCCAAGGTATCTCAGCCATTCTCCCAAAACCTGCCACAGCAAGTGAGAGCCATCAGGAAGAAGTTTAAAATAGCTACACAGTACATGACTGTCTAACCCGAGTGCTCATGCATCTTTTCTCCAGCTGGGTGGATCCTTTAAATCATGGTAGAAATTGCAGTTTTCAGAAATACATTATGAAAAGAAACAGCAAGATTAGCAGAATAGGAAAGAACAGAAGTTGCCAGGCAAGATGCATTCCCTCTATAAGGGATCTTCAGAGCAAAGGTTATTTTGAATTTGTCACTGAGTTGAAAGTAATAGCAAAGAATGTAAAATTTTATCAGAGTGATTAGGATGCTGAGGGGTTCGGCTTACAAGGGGGTGGGGAAAAAAAGAAAAAAAAAAAAAATCAAGAGTACCAAATCTTTACAACTTGTTGGAGGGCAACTAACAAATTGGTGTCCAAGGGACAGTTCTCTAGAGGAAGAAGAATTCTGGAGGATACCACAAGGAGCTATAGCTAGATTCAATGTTTAAGCTTAAAAACTGGACAAGCCACAGTGGCAAATCTTCTAAGCTACGGTAAGATTTCCCAAAGGAAGTGCTGGAAAATCCTTACTGGGGACACTGGAGAACAAACTAAAGCACCGAGTTCACAAAAGCCAACTGTCTGCACCATCAGTGTGGTAACACTGGAATTGGCTCTGAGACAGTACATTAAGCAGGGATGCAGCCTCACACAAGCACAGCCACAGTGCTTCTGGGCTAGAGGGGTACACCAACTGGGTAGTTCAAGTCAGCAACAGCTTGGGAAACTTGTTTCATTGCACAGGGCCTACAGGGACCCCAAAGGTTTACTGCCTTCCGCTAGGATACAGCATCAGCAAATACTTCTGCACTATTGCTAAGTCCATGATTAAAGCATCCCAGGGCCTTTATAACTTGGTGATTAACAGGAATAAGCACTCTGGAAAAAAACCCATAAAACTATTGACTAGAATAACATGAGAACAAATACTCTGAGAAGTAGCCTCACCTAGACACCTTGTATTGAATCAACCCTCCTGCTCTGAATTCAGGCCTGATGCACTGCTGGGTCAGAGCCCAGCTGTGACCCAGTAACTGACCAGGTGTCCTTCCCTCTGGCCTCTCTCTTCACAGCCCTTAAGCAGAGAGTAGTTACAGGCAGGACTGGTTAGGCTGGGCTTACCTCGAGTTCCTGGAATAGGCTTTCCTGTAGGGAAGGGGAAACTTCAACCGGGGTCTGCAAAACAGGAGGATCATCAATGCCAACTGCCAGAGGGCAGCGGAGCCTCACCTTCAAATAGAGAAAAATGACCTTTTGTCTAAATTTGACATTAATTTAGTTGTCATGGAAGATGTCAGCAACCCTAGAGACTGAATTCTCCACTGCCTTCATCATGTCCATGACAAAGGAGAATTAGTCTGTTCATTCATTTCACAAATGTCACTGAGGTCCCTTGGGAGAGCTCTTACATCCTGCCACCAGAAGTCAGAGGTGCATCCAAAGGTGAGAGGCAGTGGATGGGACCAAAACCCTGACAAAAGCTGAGAACATACATGGAAGTCACATCTTCAAGGCAGCTAACAGGAATAATCACTACAGATACAGGCACGAGCAGACCTCCCTAACTGTACTGTCACACTGGAGCATGACAAGGCAGATCTGCCTAGTACCATAGGTACTAAAGAAATAGGAAAGGGATATTTCAGCTTCCTCTGGGAATAGGTTATCTCAACCCCAGAGCAGAATCAACCCTAACCTGTTTTGCAGAAACATGTGGGCTAGCAGTTACATCTAACTAGAGTCACATGCAAACTATGAATGCAGGACAACAGTTAGGTTTTTAAGTAAATAAACATTTGATTCCAGATTCCTGTTCCCCCAGCAACTGTCACTCGGTGTCCTGTGTCCATTCCAAGAGTACATGAACAGTGTTAATTCCCTCCCTTCACCGATGCAAGAGTTGGGTTGTGGCAACTGTAGAACAATTTCTAACATTTTCTGGGTGCTGGTGCACATCAGATCTGAACTTCATTGTTTCTTTAAAGTGAAGAATACATAGAAATGAATATAGAAATTGTATGAACAAGACTAATTTGAATGCAAAGCCAATCTTCTAAGTGTTATTTTGCTATTTTTCCACAAAGCATCTCAGTAACATCAACTTGATAATCCTTCTTACACTAAACACCTGAAACAACTGCATTTTAGTCAGTACTGATGTGTATAGTTACACAAGAGCAGCATCTCAGAGGTTAAAGGGGAAAGTATTAAATACACATACCATCTTTTCAAACTGCATTGGTCATTTGTTTTTTTTTCTGGGGAGAGAAATGAATTACATACATCTTTGTAAAAAAAAAAAAAAAAGTCTTTAACAGAGATTGAACTGTGAGGAAATTGAAAGCTCAGGAAAGCTTTTCCAAGCCAGCTTTCCAGAAGAGTCACAGCATGCTACAAAATATCCAAAGTCTGAATTAAAAGACTTTGAAAGTTCTAGCCATCTGAGAGTAAGCCCTTACAATGGAAATGCTAACTCCGTAAAGGATCCTTCCCCTGAAAAGGATCTGAGGGGCACTGAAACCAAATTGAGTCCTACAGAACAGTGGAAGAGAGGCCAGCCTTTGCAGATGCACAAATCTGTATGTCAAACAAAGCAAAAGAAAGGCGCCCATCTTTCAGTACTTACCCCTTTTCCTGGAGGGTGTCTGTCTGAGGTGAGCTGTTCCTTTCCAAAGCATCTTCAGTTGTACACTCCTCCTTTTTGCTTGATTCTCCCAGTGTACCACAACCTTCCTTCCCTGCATCAAACAGCTGCCTACCACCAGCTACTGCATTCTTTCCCCTAGCTGAATCCCCTATGGAGATGCTCTGCTGCTCAAGCAGGGCACATCTGGATAAGCCAGCTGTCTTTTGGGATTCAGCTGTAGCACAGACTTCTTGGCTACTGGCTGGCCTATGTTTCCTTACTTGTTTGGAAGCCACCCCTTTGGAAAGGCTCTTCCCAGCTGTCCTAGGAGCTTGAGAGATGCCTCTGGCTGGGGCTTTCCTATGTGTTTTTTTCACATCTGGGTCAGTCCTATAAGGGGCTGCTGGCAAGTATGAAGAGGGCTTCTTAGAAGAGGCAGGCTTTTTACTTACAGGTCTCACCTTGGTGGTCACAGGAACACCCTCACTAGCTATAGGCACTTGCTGCACTTGAGCATTCTTGGGAGCAGGCCCCTCATTTGCAGCTTTCTCTCTTTCTCTAACTCCCTGGGCCTCTAGTGGAGTTTTCAGGATGCTTTTCCTGATTTTTAGTGCCTTCTCTAAGGCCCTGTTCAGCAACTCCAGCTCTTCCAGCTCCTTGGGTGAAGGCCTGCTCTCTGTAAGAGGAGAGGATGTATCAGAAGGCAAAAGGTGTGGTCCAAACCTGGATCTTCCTCCTTTGTTTCTGCACTGACTCACTCTTCCAGGTATAACAGAAGGAAACAACCCATCAAATGGTGCCATGGGTCTTGTGGCCTCACTCCCACAGTGCCTAAACAGAGAATGCTAGTAAGCTTGCCAAAACCCCCAAAACCCAGGATGGATGGAAGTCATAGAAGAAGACAGCCCTCCAGAGCCAGCCTTCCCTTTGCTAACAAGTGACAATCACCGAGTCTTGGTCAGGCCTGCAGATGTCTCATCTCTGATCTCAGCAACTATGGCATGACTCCAAATTAACATCAAGGAAGCCAGTGGAAAGAAAAAGCAGAGGAAGGCTTCAGGTCGACACAGAGCACCAGAAGGACTCTTAACACCAAGGCTGGCTCAACCTCAGCCAGGCCAAGGGCCTGCATGACATGGAGAGACACCAGGTCAAGACGAAAGAGCTCACCTCGTTCATTGCTCGAGCTGCTGTCCGGCTTCAGCTGTTCCTCATCTCCAGTGTCCCTAGGCAGGGTGAAACACAGAGCGCCAGCAACCAACGTTGCTGTACACTGACAGGTTTGGCTTCCCCGCATACCCACCGCCCCACAGGGCCTCTGCCGACCGGGCCGCACTCACCAGCGCCCCAGGAGGGCCCGGCTCCGCGCTGCCTGCTGCTCCAGCTCCC